GCCAGAGGGGGCGGGAGGCGGGGCCTACCCGTGGGTGAGAGCTCTGCGCTGTGAGGGGGTAGTGGCCTCCGCCCGCCCGGGCGGGTCTCGGCGCTTTTGGACGGGGAGGTTAAACCCTGCTCCGCTCTGAGGGGTCCGCGTTCCTTTTGCAAACCAAAGTGGCTTTTTCAGATCTCCAGGGGTTGCCGTCGCGGCGTTTGCGCACAGGAGGTGCAGGGCCGCCGGCTGCGGCGGGCGCCCGGGGGGGGGAGGCTCCCTCCGGAGACCCGCGGACGTGCCCGCGGTGGTATCCCTGCGTTTGGGACGCATAAAGTGAAAACATTTTCCCTCGGCCACGGCATTTCCCCTCGCACACACACAAAAGAGAAATATCTAAAATCCCAAGAGTGACATAAACTTGAGTTTTGGTATGAGGAGGAACCTGAAGCAGCGAGCGTACGTCTTGAGCACTCCCGCATGTCGAAGGAAACTTCAGAATTCGAAAAAATTGCTACTGGCTGCCAACCATAGCACTGTGAAATTACAAAACATTTCCTTCCACCCATAGAAAGCGCTGAAAACAGCCGTGGAAAGGCTCCAGGCAGTGAAAAATGAAACAGAATCCGGGAAAAATATCAACAGAGAAATACTCTCTGTGGACCAGGGATCCATGTGCCCAAACACCTGACCAGAACAGATCCCGTGGGGAATGAAACTGAGATCAATAATGGTCTGAGCAGTCCCAACCGCCTCAGCTGCCTCCCTCTAATGATTTTTCAATTACTCTTTAAAGCCTTTCTGTAATACAAATGCAGGTGATCAATAAAAGCTAGCTTTTGATGTTCGTTAAGACTAACTCACCAGTCGGTACCGGTCAGTGGCTCAGTCAGCAGATGAGGGGACACATCCAGCTGCTAAGCATCCGGCGTTAAGCAGAATTCTCACCTGCAGAAAGAAGCACAAGGCTACTTTCCACAGAGAATTCTGCACGTCGCTCTAGAACAACTAAAAGCGGAACTCAATCTGCATCAGACTCAGAGAAACAACGCAGAAAATGTGACCTGAGGCTAGAGTAAGCAGGACTGGCCAACAGGACGGGGAGAGACTGGGTGCAGGTGCTTGCTGGGAGAGAGTATCCAGTGTACACGATCCAGAGATTCCTGCCTGCATGGATGCGGGATGTTCTGCATCCAGGAGGGAAGCCTGAAGTGGCAGGAATTTGTTTAACCCATCTTGTTTCCTAACGCATCTAAAAGCTATGAAAAGGCCCATGACAACTCCAGGAGGAGGACTTGGATTCTACCACCCGATGCAGCGTCCCTTCAGCTGAGCCTTTTATTGTCATGGAGTTGGGTTTTTTTAAAGGAAAATCCAGTAAGCATGATTCAAGATTGAAGACAGGTAGGTAAGAGAGGAATAAAATGCAGAAAAGGATAACTAAGTCAGAGATTTTACTCGTCTTACCATTGTGGACCTTTTCTATACCCAGAAAGCTTTCTTTGCTATGCATGCAGATGGGTATTACTTTCAGGAAGCCTTTCATTTAATTTAACAGTAGCTTCTGTTAATTTAGTTTGAACTTTTTGTCCCCCTAAGTCATGTAAGCTTAGTTAAAAAAAATGCCCAAGCAGGTTCAGCCCACTTCATGGGCTCTTTCTTTATAAACATACACTTCATCAACTCTGAAAGCACTGCTGCCTCCCCCTGCTTTCACGTTCCTTCAGATTAGAGAGGTTGCTTTTTTTTTTTTTAGACAACTGCAACTTGCGCTCACTCCAGTGCCAACTCCTTCAGTTTTGGACTTTAGTTTGTAAAACGTAGTGGTGATAAGGCCAGTTGACTTTAAAATGGAATACCCTACGATTTCTGAATGGAATTTAAAGCAAACTGCTTAAAACCCCATATTCTTAAGCAATGAAATAGACTGATGTTGACAATTTGTTGTTGACAGTGTTGACTCTGCAGTTACCACACATCCAGATTTTCACCTTGTTCCCCCATGTATTTTGTACTACTTTACCCTTCGCTAGTAATAATAAAATGCTATCTACATTAAAGTCTCCTGTCCTTATTCACGCACGGCCTTCAATGGAAACTATTTGGGCCGCAACACTGAGCTTGTTTAACATAAACAAATTGACCATAAAGAAGGGGCAAGTGGGGAAGTCGGTGTTGTACTTAGCAGCGCAATAGTTAGAGAGCCAAAAAAAACCAAACCACCTGATCTGAAAACCAAGGGAAATTTGCAAGAGAGATCAAGGCCCAGCACGAGTAACTGGGACAGTCCCCGAACTGTAAGAATTAATGTGTCTGCTGTCACTTTTTTCACAAAATACTGGTTAAAAAGCACCGATTCATCTGGAAAGGTCAAAGGGAAGAAGGAAAACCCCAGAAAGCCTCAGGAAGGGACGGCCCTCCTCCTCCCCGCGACCCTCGATCCAACTGCCGGCCCAATGCGCCTCACGGCCCGACGCCCTTCGACGCCACAGGCCGGGCCCAGGCCTTGGCCGGGCCCCAGCGCCGCCCGCCCCGCCCTCCAGGACAAGGACTAAATAGGAGAAATCTATTTAATAGCTAAATGGGGAAAATTGTTCCCTGGAAAGGAATAGGTCCATGGTTGCCTCAAGGAACCGAGACGTCATTTGGTTGATAAATACAGCGCAACAGTTTTAATTACTTTAATTGGAATGTGACAAGGAAGTAAAACAAAAAAAAAAATGGACAACAAACGATCACGGTGTGGGGTTTGCTGCAAGCACCAGCAAACGGGCAGGCAGCGACCCACTGCAGTAGCTGAGGGGGTTTTGTTAACAAAACCAAATACAGCCCATAGTTGCAGGGGTACAAGGAATAGTTGCTCTAAATGCCATAAAACAGTTTTGGCTACCGAAAAATCTCACTGAAGACAACAAGAGAGCTACCATAAACAACCCCTGAAGCCCCAGCAATCCCACCTGCAGACAGCAGATCCACCAGTTCAGATTCAGCTTAGCAAGCCAGTCTATTTTTTTTTTTTT